ACTTTATTAAGTACGTATTCTGTATTGGGTGCCTTATTTCCCTTACCTGTATCTGTTCCCTGGTTATTGTTATTATTGTTTTATTGTTGTTATTCCAGTCTCATAAATAAGCAAACAGGATCATAGAGGTTACGTGAATTCCCTACAAACCGATCAGGTGCTGGAGTCAGGTCACGATGGCTCCAAAGCCCTTTCCAAGACACCACACCATCTCCCAATGCAAGGTGGCATTACCACCCCTGTGTTTAATCCTTAGCAAAGAGGCCTCTGCATCAATAACTCCAAACCTCCTCTATGAACATTCATAAAACATTTCTTACCAGTGATCCTCTCCAATGATGATCTAAGTTTCAAGGCTGAGCTACTCCAAGTCCAGACAAGTCTACCGCAGATCATCTTGGTCAAATCAGTTGCACCTTAATGGGTGCTGGTGGGTGTCTGAATAGTGGTCTCTTTTCCTAGACACTACAGAGGCCTATGTTGAACTACATCCAAATCAATTCCTGAAAAACTCACCATTTCCTTAGAGGCAAAACCCTCAGAAACCAGACCCTATCTACTCCGGCTAATCTCTCAAGGCCCTCTTTATACAAAGAAAGGATTCTACTCCCTAGTGCTCCCTCCCTCCCTGCCCCACTGCCTTGGATTAAGTCTTGCTAAACTGCATGTTATGCAAAGATCTTCAAAAACATCAATACATCATACAAACACTCAGAACACAGACATAGGCCAGGGCCTGGCAGAGTCAGGCATAAAGAAAGGGTGAAACAATGGTTCTATGGGATGAGTGCATGCCTGGAGGTAAGAGGGCCAGGCCCTAATTTTTCTGCTTGAGGCTAGTTGGTGCTTACATTCCAAGCCCCTTGCCTCTTACCTCCAGCACATTCCTGACTCTCCCCCCTATTTCTGTTCACCATATGTTCGAAGACACCAGTTGAATATCAGCCTACATCTAATAAAAACTGGACAGTAACTTTTCTTTAAAAAAACAAAGCCGGGGCTTGCCTGGTAGTCCAGTGGGTAAGACTCTGCACTCCCAATGCAAGGGGCCCGGGTTCAATCCCTAGTCGGGGAACTAGATGTGGCATGCATGCCACAACTAAGAGTTCACATGCTGCAGCTAAGAGTCCGCATGCTGCAACTAAGAAGTTCCCATGTCACAACTAAAAGTCTGCATGCCACAACTAAAAGATCCATATGCCACAACGAAGATCCCACGTGCCACAACGAAGACCCAGTGGAGCCTAAATAAATAGAAAAATAAAAACAAATAAAAAAAACAAAGCCAATTTAATCAGCCACTGCGTGTAGCACAACAGAGCCAGAAGATGGGACAGCTCACTTCCAGGGCTTCTTTTGGGATGGAGTTCAAATGTCTTTTAGCCATGGTGATGAGCCTAAGGCACTTAGTCCACATATTCTTTAGAACTTGGTTCTTTTAACACCAAAAAATGGGATTGTTTTCAAAGTTTTGGATGACATGAAGGGATCCATATGGAGTACAAACACTATAGTACACAGAACACATAGAAAAGGGCATGACAGAAAGAGGGAAAAAAAACTGACTGGGCTATTTTGGGGAACTTATCTTCCCCTGGGATGGAGGTGCTTGATGGGGGGATGGGACCAAGGGGAATTTTAAGTATTCCATACTCACAGAGAGAAGGAGGACAAGACCAGCCCTTCTGGCCTCTCCAGTCACACTACGCTGAAGGAGTGGAGAGCAACTCAGGTGACTGCCCATCCCAGACCTTCTCACAGGTTGGCTGCCTTTGGACACTCTTCTGTGGGCACTCAGACCTCAGTTCCACACTTATTACAAGTTATTCTGGGAAGGATATGGTCAAGGAGTGGAGCTGGTATTTGGAACCATCACAGGACATTTGGGCAATATGAACTCAGAGGACAAAAAAATAAAAACACTTTAAGCCTCAGTAAAAGATCTTAATCCTACACTCAAGTCAGAAGAAAGTCACATGCATTTCCTTTTCTTTGGGGCCTTAGACATGCTGATAGAAATGGGCTCAACAAGAGTCAGCTGGGCCTTTTCATCACTAATTTTACGCATTTTGAAGCTGAACCTGATAATTAGAACAAAATTTTGCCATGTTACTTTTTTTTTTGTATCTGTTTACCAAGGTTTAAGCAAAACCAACGGGCCTCAGAAAATACATGAATCTGATGTACTGCCGATGGAAGCATAAGCTGGTACAACTGTTCTAAGTGTTGTGGAACTGAGGCACGTGTCTCACAAGAATTCAAAATGTGCACACACTTTAACCAAGTATTTTTTATTCTAGGGATCTAAGGAAATAATCAGGAATGTAAGTAAAGACTAAGTTGCAAGGATGCCCATTTTAGCATTATTTACAATAGCAAAATATTAGAAAGAACTATAATTTCCAACCAATAAGGAAATGGATTTTCAATTCGGATACATATGATGGAATCTTATGAGGCCATTAAAATAATGATGTAGATGTGATTTCATTGCCATGAAAATATATTGACAATATAGCGCTAAGTTCAATTAAGCAAATTTTCATTGAGCACCTACTGTACATAAGACCACGCTAGGCAGCAGGGACATAGCAGTGAATTTAAAAGGTACAGTTTTTACCCTCATAAAGTTTATGACTGACCAGGCAAATCAGACAGTGAGGAAGTAATGAGATACGTAGTAATAGTAAAGAGAACCATAAGCTATCACAAGAGTAAATGTATTACATGTATTTTTTTTGCTTGCTCACATTTTCTAATTTTTATTCTGCAATGAACATATGTGAATAGTGTTTGGATGAGTAGATGGATAGGTAGGTGGGTGGGTGGATGGATGCACAGACAGACAGATGATGGATGAATGGAGGGATGGATGGATGGAAGGAAGGATGGAAGAATGGATGGTAACCAGATTCAGTGGAAAGCTTGGGGTAGGCAACATATTAGACTGCTTTCTTCTCTTGATTCCTCTTCCCTTCAATTACTAGAATCCAAGACCTGATCCAGAAGCACCTTTTCTCTCCCTTTTTAAAATCACCTTGTTTTGCTAGGCACTTCCACTACCCCCAGAGGCAAGTTCATGAGCAAAAAGTGGAGCCAACAGTACAATTTATTGTAATTCCAAATAGACTCCTCTCTCAACACTGGACTTTCCAAACCACACAAACAGAGAAGAATGACTGGCAGAACTATTTACTGAAGTTGCAGCTAAATAACTATTGTAGACAAGATAAATTATTTTAAAAGAAAGAGACGGATGAAGGACAAGGACAAAAAAAGAAATAAAAACCTTACTACTAGAGTTTGAGGCTACTCCAAAGAGAATGTGGCTCAAAATTTCCAGGTAGTGAAATTAGCTGGTTTTCCAGGCTGCACTGTGGAATTCCTGGCCCAAGGCTCAAAGTGAGGTAAGTGTGGCTTGGTCCACTTAGCAAAAGCACTGCTCCAAGTTGAGGCCAGGTCCTTCACATGACGAGCCAAGGGGGACATACATGTGAGGAATTCTCCAAACGCCAAGTGCTAAGTACTCCCCGCCCCACCAAGAACCACTCCTGCCCAGCACAGGCTTTGTACTATATTAGGAAAAGGGCAAGAGCCTATTCAGCAAAGATGTGCCTGCACTCACCCATCCTTAGCAACACCACATTCATTCATTTAACCTTCACTTATTCAGTCTCCTAAACATCAGGCCCTGGGGTGGGCGCTAAGGATTCAACAGTGACAAGACATAAGACATAATCCGCAAGCACCCAAAGCTCACAATCAAGGGTAGGAGACATTTTGTTCATTAAAACAATATTTTAGTCCTATTATGTACCAGGTACTCAGGGTACAGAAACAAACAAATCTAACAAGATCCCTGTCTTCATGGAACTGATACTCCAGTAAGGAGACACAGGTAAAAAATATATAAACAACCAACCAATATGATTTTCAGACAGTGATAAATGTTATGAAAAAAATAGAGTCAGGTTATGGAATAGAAAGAGACCTAGTGGGGAACTACGGCTCAGGTGGTCAGAGAGGAGGCAACATTTGATACAGGGTGAGAAGCAGCAGGTACATGAGACCCCAGAGCATGACCACCTCAAACCCCAGGAAACAGATGAGCATTTAGAGTGATAGTGACCACACTCAGAGGAAGCACAGGGTACAGATAAGTGTGTGGAAGAGACACCTGACCTCATCCAGCTGGCTTTCAGTCAGCAGTGATGGATACAGCACTGCCTGCACCTGGCTCAGGGGAGGTGCTGTGAGGTACTGCAGACAAGAAGCTCAGCCCGTGCGTTTCAGGGAATTCAGTCTTAGAAATAATACACGTGCAATAGTTGGACAAGGCTATTTGGCATGTTCAGGAAACAGGGACTCCCTGGAAAGTTGGCAAAGGTACTGAAACTGAATGCAGATGGTGAATATACCTCTGTCTTACTCTCCCCACCCCAAGCCCCACCATCACTTCTGCCAACTCTACCGCATTCCTATGAAGGTTAGAGGAGACTCAAGGTCCCTGCCTGGAAAGAACAGCTAAGGAATAACAAGACGTGGGCCAGCTAGGCCAGCCAGCCCTGGGCCAGGCATCCAGAAGCCAAGTTCCACTCATTCACCATGTGACCTCAGGCAAGTCCCTTCCTTTCTCTCAGCCTCAAGGTCCCCCATCTGCAAAATGACAGCTCAGAAGCCTGGGGATGAAGCCAAGAGTCTACATGCCTAACCAGCTCCCTGGCATGATTATGATGCATGACAAAGTCTGAGAATTCATAGACTATATGATGCTACAGAGTTAACTGCAATAGGGGCTGCATGCTTGACTCGCCTGGCTGAGGGCCTGTCACAGTGCTTTGCATCTCCACGGTGCAAAGCAAAGAATCTGGCACACAGGAGCTCCGCAGGGTGGGCGTCACAGCCTTCTTTCCTCCCCCCTCTCACGCCACCACCCTCAATATTCTCCCAGTGGGGCTGCAGCCCCACAACCATGGGTTATTGTTTGCCCCTCACCATACCTGTGAACATCGCACAGAAGTAGGGGCTGCAGGCTGCCAGGACCACACGGTGGGCTTCTATCTCAACATCTTCTGCCACAATTACCACGTCACACAATAGCTGTTTGCTGCAAGACACCAGTGGAAGAAAGGATGGGTCACAGCACCAACTCCCACCCCCAGCCACACAAGGGTATTTTTTCTCCCCCACCCTCCACATTCCATACTATCACCACGGTTGTCATACAGACCTACCATATCTTAAGTTAGGCAGGGAGATGGACTCATCAACTTTTCCAAGTCCCTAATAAGCCCCACATTCAGGCTTTCCTAAGGCACTCAACTCTGTAGAGATCTAACTACTGTGTAGCTGCAAATTCAGGGCTCCTTCATTTGTCTTCACATCTCTGCTCCGCAACTCTACAGGCTATGACTGAGAAAGGGGGACAGCAGTTCAAGGAGCAGTGGGAAAAGCTTTGGGCTGTTAGCTGAGTAACTGAATGAATGCCAAGGAGCATGAGCATGCCACTGAGGTGTGCCACCAGCTAGAACAGGTATTAACTCTTCCCCAAGGAGTCCACTGCCTGTGAAACACTGGTAAGAGGCCAGCCAGATCTGGAGGACTCAGGTATGTTTCTTCCCACTCAGGTTTAACACTAACATCAAAAAGACTCCGCTGGTACACACAGTGCTCCCTAAAGACCCTGGGCAAACTCCAATTACTGCAATTATTAAGAAAACTGTAACTACATTTTTACTTGTTTGTCACCCCCATACACTATGAACTTTAAAAAGGACTTGTTCACTGTTATATCCTAGACACCCAGTTGCATGCATAGCACACAGTAGGCCCTAAACTTTTACTAAATAAATTAATAAAGGAATGAAATTTTAAATAGGATCAATCTACACTCAGAAACAGAATGAATATTTGACTACTTTGAAGACTGAAAGGGTACCACAAGCCCTATCAATCCAAGAATTTTTCCTCTACCAGCCTTTCAAGTTCTTATCCTGGCTATTATCAATACAATAGTCAACATTTCTTGAGTTACATGTGCCAGGCACTGTTCTAAGCACTTTTTTTAATACATATTATTTCATTTAACCCTCTCTACAACTCTATGAAGTATGACTACTGTTATGCCCCATATTACTAAAAAAGGAAACTGAGGCCCAGAGAAGTTAAGTAACTTTCCCAAGGTCATACAGAAAGGGAGCAGTGGATTCAGGATTTGAATATAAGCAGCTGAACCCAAGAACCCATGCTCTTAACTTCTATAGTATCCTGGTCACCACTAGTCCTTGCTTTAGATTAAAGCACTAGAAGTGGGAGGGAAGACAGGGAGGATAAACACATTTCAACTGTGATCCACTGGTAGTGGTTACTTAGCGCACTATACTGGATTGAGAAGTCTGAGGTCATGACTGGGTTCCACGTGACAGGGATGAGATAAATATAATGAGTATGTCATGGTTAATAGATGGAAGAGAAGCTACATATTTGCTCTCCCTGGTATAGCATATTAAACCCTTGCCAACTATTCAGACATTAGTCCAGGTTCACTTTTCAGAGAAATAGAGTCATACAGCCTGGGAAGGCTAGAACCACAAATGCCCTTAGAGATCACCCTATGTATGAAGCTCAGAGAGGTGGCCCAAAGCCACAGAAGCCTTAGTCTTGAACCTAGTTCTGACTCCAGGTACAGTACCATAATGCCTCACGATTGGTTGACACTTAGAATGGGAAAAAACAGTAGCTAGGTTATCTCCAGTGGGGAACGGTGACCAGGAAAGGTTCAGCATATAGAATAAGGTACCAGTGAGGGGGCTTCTGGGAAGGGTGAGACCCCTGAGCACCAAGAGGCAAAACCTGGGGGTGGGACCTCATCCTGCAGTGAACAGCACACCTTACACACGAACTTTATCAGAATAAACCAGCTCAACTGGGAACAGAACTGGCTCTGCCCCAACAGGCTACAAGAACATGGACAAATTGACCCCATCAGTTTTCTCATCTTTCTTAGCTGCCTTGGGACATATACTGTGGGGACCAAATGAGATTGCAGATGCTACTTGAGAATAGGCTTGTTTAAATATGATTAAAATATATTGTAAAAATGTATTCCCAACAGTATAGACTCCGCTTGGACATTTTCATTTCTATTAAAGATTCTGGGGAGAAAACAGAGTTATCACTGCTATTTAAAAGTACAAGTAATTTTTTTTGGTAACCAGTATTTTAATAAGGAAAGTGTTGACACAGATGGGTCAGAAATGCTGAGCAAATTTTCAGTGCCAGGTGATGGGCAAGCAAATGTCAAAGTAGGATATCTTACACAAACCCAGAAGAGCTGATAATTCTTGAACAAATGGGAAAGAGACCAGAAGGAATGAGGAGTAAAGATGGAGAATCCAGTCAAACAAATAAATGAGAGCAGCTCTGACAGGTGGGAAGTGTATCTCAAGGCCAGAGAAACTCTAACCTGGGAGAGTGACCAAGAAAAACTTGCCACAAAGTCAGGGTAGGCTTTCCCAGGTGGTGGGAAAGCCTGTCTACACACTGGAGACATCTCAGTCTCCACTATGCAGGGAAAAGGGAAGAGGCAGCTCTACAAGCACTGCATGGCTCACAAGCACTTCTAATTCCAATTACCAGAGATCCTGTGAGATCCTTTTTTCTGAAGTATCAGACACTACTCCAAAGGACAGTCTTGAGGAGAGAAAAGTAGGGCTATACACACTGTGATTTGTAGGAAATAGAGTAGAGCTGTGAGGAAGGAGCTCAGGCCCTGGAATCAAACTGACCAGGGTTCATGTCCCCTGAGTATCATAGAACTGATATGTGTTGTAAACAAGATAATGAATAGCGCTAATAGTAAACATTCAGTAAATATGTATTTCTTTTCTTCCTTTTTTCCACAAAATACTTCAGTCAAGACTAGAGTAAGTTTTGGACATGGTAAATTTGAGCTGCCTTTTGGACATCTAAGTGGGGCTGTGAAGTAGGCAAGTGGATACTAGGGTCTGGAGTTCAGAGGTGGGAAATGGTTAAGAAGTTGGGGGAAAGGGGAAGAACCAACAAAAGAGATGAGAAACCAGCCAGTGGGATAGGAGGAAAACCAAAAGAGTGTGATGTCCAAGAAGCCAAGTAAAGACAGGGATACAAAAAGGAAGGAATGATCAATTGTACCAAATACTGCTGATAAGTAAGATAACATTAGGGTGGCTAGCCAGGGCAATTAGGCAAGGAAATGAAATAAAGGGCATCCAAATTGGAAAGAAAGAAATAAAACTATCTCTATTCACAAATGACATGATCTTGTACATATAAAATCCCAAGGAATCCACTAAAAAACTACTAAAATAAATAAATGAGTATAAGGAGGTTGCAGAATACAAGATCAATATACAAAAATCAACTGTGTTTCTGTACACTTGCGGTGAACAATCCAAAAATGATATTTTTAAAATCCCATTTACAATAGCATCAAAAAGAATAAAATACTTTAGGAATAAATTTAACAAAAAAATTCAAAACCTATACCCTAAAACTATAAAACACAGTTGAAGTAAATTAAAGACTTAAATAAGTGGAAAGATCTCCAGTGTTCATGAATTGGAAGATTAATACTGTTAAGATGGCAATTCTCCCCCAAAATGTTCTACAGATGCAATACAATTTCTATCAAACTCCCAGTTGGCTTCTTTGCAGAAAGTGACAAGCTGAGCCTAAAATTCAAATGTAAATGCAAGGGACCTAGAATGGCCAAAACAATCTTGAAAAAGAACAGAGTTGAAGAACTCAGGTTTCCCAATTTCAAAACTCTACAAAGCTAAAGACAGTGTAGTAATAGCACAAGGATAGATACATAGGTCAACAGAATAGAATTGAGAGTTTAAAATAAACCCTCACATTCACAGTTAACTGATTTCTGAAAAGGATGCTAAGACCATTCAACCGGGAGAGAATAATCTTTTCAACAAATGCTGCTAGGATAACTGGATATCCACATGCAGAAGAATGAAGTTGGACCCTTACCTCACACCATACACAAAAATTAACTCAAAATGGATCAAAGACCTAAATGTAAGAGTTAAAACTATAAAACTCTTAGAAGAGACATTGGGGTAAATCTTCATGACTTTGGATTAGGCAGTGGTTTGTTAGGACACCAAAAGCACAAACAAAAAAAAAGATACATTAGACATCAAAGTTTACAACTTTTGTGCTTTAGGACATCAGGAAAATGAGAAGAAAACCTACATAATGAAAGAAAACCTTTGTAAATCATATGTCTGATAAGAAGCTTGTATCTAGAATACATAAAAACTTTACAACTCAATAATAAGTAGACATATAACCCAATTTAAAATAGGCAAAGTATCTTAATAGACATTCTCCAAATAAGATACAGAAATGGCCAGTGATCACATGAAAAGGTGCTCAACATCATTAGTCATCAGAGAAACGTAAATCAAAACCACAATGAGATAACTTCTCACACATACTAGGATGGTTATAATCAAAAACACAGAAAATAACAAGTGTTGATGAGAATATGGAGAAATTGGGAGCTTCATACACTGCTGATAGAAATGTAAAGTGGTACAGCTGCTGTGGAAAACAGTCTGACGGTTCCTCAAAAGGTTAAACACAGAGTTGTTATTTGACCCAGGAATCCCACTCCCAAGAGAAATAAAACATACATCCACACAAAAACTTGTACCTGAATGTTCACAGCAGCATTATTCATAATAGCCAAATGGCCTCAAATCTGTATATCCATACAATGAAATATTATTCAGCAATAAAAAGGAATGAAATACTGAGACATGCTACAGCATGAATGAACCTTGAAAACATTATGCTAAGTAAAAACTGTTAGTCACAAAAGACACATTATATGATTCCAAAATAGGTAAATCATAAAGACGGAAAGTAGACTAGTGGCTGTCTAGTACTGGGAGGTGAGTGAATAGGGATAACAGGGGGATTACTGCTAAAGTATACAGGGTGATGAAAATATTCTAAAATTGATTGATGGTTGCCCAGTTCTGTGAATATAATAAAAGCCATTAAATTGTACACTTTAAATGGGTGAATTGTATGGTATATGAATTATAT